TTTTTTTTTTTTTTAACTCAAATCTAATCCAACTTTAACTCAACTCCACTATCTTCAATATTATCAATATAATTAAATAGAACCACTCAATCATTCTTACACATCAACTTTAAATTCACTATTCATCTACTCACATAATTTTAACTAAACATCACTTCACATCATCTCCCTCCTACTTTTACATCAAATCATCTTTAATTATTTAATTTTGAATATTATTTAATCTAAACTCAAAATCCACTAACTAACCATACTACCTTCTTTCAAAATTAACCATACTAAACCAAAATCCAAACAAAATTAAAACAACTTAATCGGGGGGTTGTATTCTGTTGGAAATGGAGGAACAATCAGCTTGAGGAAGGTCTGCTGCAAAACAATCTAATGGAGAAAGCAATGCACATAAATATAGTAAGTCTACTATCATATTATGAGACATTCTTAGTAAAATTTTCATTTTTCACATCGTACTTCGTACATATACAAACGTATGAGACCATCTTATACTGGTTGATGTGATGTGATATATATTAATCTTCAAAGAGATGTTATTTTTCATAAAGGAAAAAAAAGACCACAAGAAATAACCTCCACGGGCACTGAATTTCCAGAGACAGCGAGATTTTTCATTTCCGAGGCAGCAACCTCCAACTGGGCTTCGACTACTTCATTTTCTTTTGGAGCATTATCTGTTTGCTTCACATCATCCAAGTGATTCTTCATAGATTTCTCAATTTCAACCTTCCTGTAATCGGAGGGAGTTACAAGCTATCAGAAAATACTCGTTTTCTTGCAAAATAAGCTCATGTCAGTTTAGCAAAACAGATGTATGATTGTTAACACACAAAACTGAAAAAAAAAAAAAAAAAAAAAAAAAAAAAAAAAAAAAACACTTCACCTATTGGAAACATCAATACCAATGCCACCAAAGCTCGGTTTGTTGGAAAACAGAACGCCACGAAGAGGCCTTCCATCAATGATGGTTTCAATGGTATATCCGCCCGTAAAGCTTTTAGTGACTTTAGCTTGGAAGGTCCTCTTACCCATTGGAGTCTGATATTCATTTAAATAGAAATTTTGCCTTCCTGTGACTGGAGTCGGCATAATCAAGAACATTTAAATAAGTTCATCATATCATGAACACCGTTCTAATTTATGAAATTAATTTCTTCTTTTTTTTTTTCCTTTTTTAATCGTGTTAGCGAATGTTGTGTGAATCAAATGAAAATTCAAGCTTTAGCAAATTTGATAGTCAACTTATGAGGCCTATCTACTTGCCACGAAATTTCTCTGTTGAACTTCATTTACAAATTTCTCAAATGTAAACAGGTAAGATTCAATCAAAGCATGACAGCAGATCAAATGATTTCAGTATAAAGCATAAAACATTTGCTCTTTCCTGATGGTACAATACGTTGATATTGACATTGGTTGTATTATCATGCTCAACCAAACCATGATAGCAAATAATGATTTTTGAAATCCAATATAATGCATTAAAACATTTGCTCTTGCCTGATGGAACATAAGTTGATATTGGCATGGGTTGATAAACTGTATTATCATGATCAAGCTCAGATCCGAAAGAAGACTTCTCATACGGAGGACTAAAAGTGCTCTGCTCTTGGCATTTTAACTTCAGCTGTTTCCTCAGAGATAGCTTCTCAATACGCCGTTCATCTCGCTCAAGTTCTTTAAAAAGCCCTGGAAATGTGCAGACCAAGCACAAAACCAATAAAAATAAACAAATGAATATAAATTTCTAATTTATGATCCATTTCAGTAAATAAAAAAAAAAAGAGAGATGAAAAAACCTGTGTGCAAGAGATATATGTCATCTAGCGCTTCTAGATTTTTGTTGCAGCCACCAATAAAAACAAGAACACCTCCCATCTGCGGATCCAAACTCTCACCAGCCATAGAAAATCTACCAGATGGGCCCTCTCCTACAGCTAATACTTTCATCCATGCCCCACTTTCTACATAAAAAAACCATACGGTTTTTTCTTAAAAAAAATAAAAATAAAAACAGTTGCTATTAAAAAAAAAATATTAAGCATGAAAAGATGACGAAACTAGGTTTATTTCATTATGTAAATGCAAGTAATTTCAATCATTTCCTATTTAATAAATGGCTTCCTGTAAAATAAAAATATGGACCATCACCAAACAAAACAAGAACAAAGAAAAAATGTCGCTTCTACCAAGATCAGTCTAAAATATCAGATATGACTGCACAAATGAACGGGACAAGTCAAAATTTGGTGCTCAGCAAGTTTTAGATCAATCAACAGTTCAAACTTTCAGGACTAAAGTTTTCCGCGGGAGACCAATAGTTAACCATGAGTTTAGCTCATAAAGATAGTCAGTCTCATAAGAAAAAGAACAAAAGTGGATAGACATCCTTCTTTTTCATATTATTTTATTATTGACTCATGAAAGTTGATGCTGTCCAAAATACTTTTATCAAACTAATTTAACTAACTAGGAACAGCGACAAAATAACTTACCAATGTCTAGCATATATACATCATCATACAAGTTTTGCTCATCTGAAAAACCCCCAAACACAAACAAGTTCTTGCCAAAGCCAACGGTCGTGTGACCCCCTCGAGGTGGCAATAGCTGGCCAGACGTGTTCAGTGTGCACCAAACAAGCGTATCTATTTTATCAAGGAAAGGAAAAATCATGTCAACACAATTTATAAGAATGTACATGATTTGATAAACCCGAAGGAAATGTCATGCGAATATGATTTAAAAACAGAAAATATATATATATATATATATATATATATTGATTGTACCAGCATCAAGTATGTGGACATCCGATAGATAATAATTATTCGAGTCTTCACCACCTATAACAATGATTTTGTTCTTCCAAGAAGAGCAGGTATGACTGACCCTCTTACTTGGAGGAGTGCCTGATGGAACTACACATTTCCATGAGAAGGTCTCTGCAAAGAAAGGAAGAGTCAAGAGAGAGCCTTAAAACATATTTTCCCAAATTACCCCAGAAAGAGTACTAATTATTTCACACCAAGATTTCAAATACCTCTGATTTTCACAGCCAATAAATAATATTTAACCTTGTATATAGCCAAAGATTGTAACGAGATAAAAGCAACTTCAATTTGTGGCAGTATCAGGAAGAGTTTCTGGACTATCAAATGAACTCAAAGTTAATTACTAGAACGAGTTTCTGGTATATCAAATGAAGACTTGAAATCGATATTCGTTCACAACGTAAAAGACATGCCAGTATTATAATGTTCTTGTCCCTGAAAGAAAATTCAGCTTCCGCAAAAGTGAAATTGTTCACACGAGACTTTGCTAAAGAGACAGAAAAAAAAAATAGGGAAACCGATAATAGCCAAAACCAATGAGAAACTAGCTTTTGCGCTAATGTTTACTTGTCAAACCCAAGGTAATTTGTTTAACAAAGCACAAAGTACTCACCAGTATTTAATATGTAAAGATCATCATAGTAGATCTCACTGTTCACTGATTTGCCACATCCACCAAAAATGAAGAGCCTTTTACCAATAAGAGCTGCACTGTGCCCTTCTCTCGGTTCTGGCCCATCACCTCTAACGCTTGGTAGGATCCACGTATTGGTGGCTGCGGCCAAAAAGTACTTAATTGGCATAATATGATCATAATTAATTAAGGTATCAATAAAGTTCAAGGTTTCTTCATGTAAATAACCAACTGTGCAGTAATATCTTAAATCAATTGTTGCTACGAAGCAAAAATAGAATGCGAAGATCAATTGCAAGAGGAAAAACTACAGGAAATGTAACAAAATTACAATAGGCAACAAAAATGGATAAATTAATGGAATTTGCCCCTCAACCATCAAGCCGCATGTAGAAAAACGTATCTTCAACCGAACAACATGTTCAAGCATTAAACAGAGCATGATAGAGATAAACCACAAATCCCTGCCAGTATTTTAAATGGATCCATTCTGGTAGTATTACTATTAACAGAACAATGCATCACAACTCACAGGTATCCAATATGTGCAAATCATTAAGCGGCCTTCTCCCATCGGTACCACCAAATACAAACAGATTATCTCCAACCGTTGTACAGCTATGACTATCCCTTGGCACAGGTGGTATGCCCTTCATTACAGGCTCGCTCCAAAGCATATTGACTGATTACACAATATATTAGTATTAGAAAGTTTTACACGGGCTCGTGTGAATGAATTGGGAGTATATAATTTTTAAGAATCAAAATACGCTTATGACAACAAATAATTCTGCAGTACATATCAATTGATACTCAAGAGTCGATAATCAATATGCAGAATGATTACATGACAAGAAGTATATTTTTTTTTTATGGAACATAGGAACTTCAGATTCAACCTCTGCAGTACTTACAGAATGTAGAAAACAGAATTAATGATAAACAATTTATCTCTATAACTAATTATAACACCAACTTCATAGTTTCTCAAATGAGTCAACACTAAAGCTAGAGAAAATATAAATAAACTTCAACTTTTCACATCTTACTAGCCTAAAATCAATCAAGCAATACTTTTACTTGCAACCAACTGATCATAATTTATGCAAAAAAAAAAAAAAAAAAA